GCAGGGTCACCAACCAGCAGCCCAGGCTGCCCGGAGCCACAGCCAGCCTGCATTCCAGCTTCCCACCATCCATTTGCTGCCTCTGTTTTCCAGGCCTGGCATCGTAAGTTAAATCAAAGTATGCCACAGAGCAAAACGTGGGTGTTTGAGCCCCGAACCATTGCTCAACTGAGAAAACTGTATGCTGTTGAGGAAAAGCAGAACTCCTGTGATGGTCAGGAGCAGGCTGTTTGGTGGCTTGCTGTTGAGGTTGTGCACTGCAGTGTGCAGGGCTGGCTGTGACCTGCTAACCACAGGCTGTGCTCTTGCTGCCATGTGTTGTGTTAGCTCTGTAACGTGCCCTGAATAGCAAGAGGTCACAAGGAGCTGTGCTGCGAGCCCCGTGCTCCTTGGCATGCTTCTTTGGGCCGTTCAGTGTTGGCAATTCGGCACAGCGTGTGGTTTGTGGTGTGGTGTAACGGAGGCTGTGTTGAATGGAAGAGTTTCTGCAAGGCTTTGCTGTGGGGAGCGGTGCCTCATGGCTCCTCAGGAGCACAGTTTGTCACCCCCTGTGTCCTTAGTGCTTCGAGGTGCTTTGATGCAGTCGGATGGATCCCCGTTTTATCCCTTATAAAAGCACTGAGTAAAAATATATTGGGGTTGTGAGAGCATTTGTTAACTTTGGGTAAAGCATAAAAGGTCTTTATAATCCTACGGTGTCCTGGCTGGTGATAGGGCAACCCAGAGCCTCCAAATCCTGAATACAGACACTCCCATTAAATTAAAACTTTCAAACAAAGGCAGATTGTACAGGAGGAAGACACTGAAGCCGGCCCTCTTCTCCACCCATCTCCCTGAAAGTGTTGTGAGACGTGCTGGTTCCTTGCAGTCTGTGTTCTAATAAATGATGCTGAAGTGTGAAACAAGTTTTAAATATTGGGGGGAGGGCAGGTTTTCGCTTCAGACACTCTGCAAACCCTTGGTTTTGTGACTTTATATTGGTAGAAAACATGAAATAAATACGAAGGCTGTCTCAGCAGCCGTAAGCTGGTTTCTGGCAGCAGGATGGGGTTGGGATTGGGAACACCTATTTGCCATCTTTGCTGCCCCTTTCCTGCCTGGTTGCCTGTATGTGTGCTGGGAGGCTTTTCCTGGAAGGCTGGCAGGTAGGCAGCTCTGATAACATCGCAGGTTGGCTTCTAATCGTGCTGCAGCCCTTTTGGTCTTTGCTGTGATGCTTCCATGGAGCCTCTTTCTAGGAATCACGGTGGTTACAATGCAGCTACTGTTGTTTTATTTATGGGTGGCTGCTGTTTAAATCGAGCATTGCAAGAGAGAACCTGAGCCTCAATCTGCTCCGTTAACTGAGGTGCAGCTCGGCTGTGTGTGCCTGCAGCTTTTGCCTTGTGGAGCGCCGTTATTTTTGGGGGGAAGCGATGTGATCTGTGTGTAATGAAGCCATTGTAAGGTCAGCAGTGAGTGTGGGGCCCCCAGGCTTATCCTGGTGGCAGCCTCCTTCCCCTTTTCCCATGCAGCTCCCAGCCCTGTGCTGGGCAGCCTTGGATCTCAGTGCCCTTCCTGCTGCCCCGCTGCTGCTGAGCTTTCTGTTTGTTTGTCTGCATGCTGCTTTGAAGCTTGCTTACCATCAGTGCTGTGCTGTGTGGGAGCCCCTGCTGTAGACTTTAAACTTTTGCTTATTTTTCCAACCTTTCTCTTATTTTGTTGATTGTGGATGAGAGCTGCTTCTGAGCTGCCTTGTGCGTTGCCAGAGCGGCTTGTGTTGCTCACTTCCCTGCTTTGAAATGACATAATTGTCATCCAAATCCTGGAAAACAGAACTTGGTGATGTGACACGATACCTGAAAATGCTTTTCCAAAAAGGCTGTGAGGCATGGCTCCAAAGGCTGCCCTGAGGTCCCTGGTGGGATGTGAGCCTCAGGAGCCCTCTTAAAACAATTACACAGCAGGAATGAAACGGAACTGCAAACCTGCCTTTGTGTTTTGTCCTGAATGAAATCAAAACCAAACAGACAAAAGCAAATGACAAAACCTAAAAGTCTAGGTTGTATCCTAACAGAGGTGCCTATGGTAATTATCAAAGTCTTTCATTAACAGTGGATCCAGGATATCTTGTGCTGGGCGAGGGGCACGAATGACTGAGCAGCACATCGTTCTTCCATTTGTGCTGCCTTAGCTCTAGAGATCTGGTGCTTTCCTCTCTGTTTTTAAGCAGATTTCAGAAATAAGCATTTTCTGCTTATGAATGTTTTCATTAAGGTCTCTTAGTGGTATAGAAATACACAGATGACTTTATGCAACAGATCCACAAGCAGTAAAGTAGCTGTTAGGGACACAGCCACCAGGTAGACCTCAAAGAACAGCATACACCATATTTCTGTGGAGTTGTACTGCAGTAGGCTCAGTCTAAATGAGCAATTGTGTAACATTTCTGTTGTAAAATAAAGGTGTCGTTCCTGTTCTGTGTCCGTAGCTTTTCAGTGCGAGTTGGAAATTGATTGTGACCTTGTTATGGCAGAAATACCATTCCATCTCTGTGTTGAGGGAGCTCAGCCCTGCTCAGCTGCTATCTCCCCATCTCCAGGTATGCTGCTCCCCCAGCCAGCTGTAGGGGCAAGGTTTTTGCTGAGGAATGCGGTTGTTATCTTGGAGCCAGCATTCAGGCTGCTCCTCCTGAACACTCGCTGCTGTGTTGGGCAGATGGCGTTTTTGTTGGCTTGGGGGCAGTTGGTGAGATAGATGGACCGTGGCCCCTTGTGCAGATGGGGTTGGAGGGACCTTTTCACTGGGCGCCTCTGAATGCGCTGCGTGCCTCGAGGTGCAGCTTTCAGATGGGTGAGTTTTAGAACAGGACGAGGTCTCACCCTCCTTGTGAACCTGGGCCCTTTGTGTGGGGAGAGCTCATTGGTAGCAATATCCTGTTGAAAGCTGTTCAGAAAGAGCGACCTTGGAGGGCACGCTTCCTGCGCTCTCTGGATGGGATTTCCTTTTTATTAAACAGGAAATAGTCTGATTACATAAAAGTGTGAGAATGATAGGTCTTTCCTTCCCAGCACAGGTTGTTCGTGCTAATTCTATTTAGAAAATGCTCAACTGCCAGACCAGCTGAAGTTAATTTACTTTGACTAAAACTGTTGTTTACACCTAAGAAGTTCCTACTGGTGCTGGTAAAGCATTGCCTCGATTCAAACGATCCAGCAGAATTAAGGCAGCCCGTTCAGCTGAATTCATTCCTGGTGTATTCTAACCTTTCCAGTTCAATAGACAGACCGTGTAGGGCTCAGGGGTTTGAAGGGAACTGCTCAATAAACGCTGCTGCTTCCCTGTATTGCAGGATTGAGACGTGGGCTCAGAGTGAAGCAGGAAAAGGAGGCTCTGGGGCATCATCTTTGGTAGGACCCGCAGCAGGTTGCTGATCAGGGGCATTCTGACACTTGAGAACACAGAGTTGAGTTCCAAACTTAGGAAAGGTTAGGCCAGCAGTTGCCAAAAGGTTCGTTGTGACCCCTCTTCAGTTTCTGCTTTAAGATTGGCTGCTCCTGGTTGGAGAGCTGCTGTTTGGAGCCTGCAAACGATCCATGTTCACACCTGGTGTGTTCCAGTCCATGGGCTGCCCTCATCGCTGGGCAACTGCCTGGATGGCCCCAAAAAGGAAAAAAATCTCTTTGCAGGGTGGTTGGCTGGCAGGTGAGAGCTTCCAAAATAGAAAAGTACTGCAGAAACCCCAAACTCCTGAGCTTGTTTTTGTCTCAGAAGTGTAATTTGGAGGTCTGTAGGTAGGTTGGTTCCTGAAAATCAGTGCAAATCTTCTCATGGTTTTCATTTCTCACACTTGTAGGTCAACATTTACACAGTAAAGCCTTGGATTTTAGCGTCTTGCTCAGTTTAACTACAAGATATCTGGTTGAAACAGTTATGACTGGCCTGTAACCTAATTGGACTGGTATGCTGGAAACTTTCTGGAGCAAGTTGCTTTGGCTCTGAGCTTTGTGCCAGTGAAATGATGAAGTATAGCATGATGACTCTAATGAACGAGCTTTGTTTAGAGAGCTGAAAAACAGTATTAGTTTTGTTTTTAGTTTCCATCCCTGCTCATGGATGTATCACAAATAGGTTTCATAAGCCCAGCGTCTCAGTTTTCTTTGGGGAATTTTCGTCCAACTGAGGTTGTTAGTGAGCTTCTTGTCTCTAAAAGACAGCAAGAAGTTTAACAGTGAGGCTGAACCCAACTGTGCAGAGCAGAATTACTTTGGAATAAAACATTTCGAGGAAAAACTCCCACAAAAAGCCTGTCCATCTATGCAGCCTTCTTGTGGGGCTTTTAGGTGGTTAATTACAAGCTAATATTTTGCTGGCACGTCCCTTTGGGCAACCTCATCCAAACCCGAGGTAACCGAGTGCTGGCCCCAGAGCTGAGCTCCCTGGTGCTTGCTGCAGGAGAGGCAAACAGGGAACTGCAAATCTTTGTTGAAACAATTTCACATCAGTTTTTTTGGTGGCTGATTACCTGACCTGCGCATACCATCACCATGACTGCAGAAGCAATCAAGGCTGAAGGTCCTGGTGGAGTTGAGCTGCACAGGGTGGAGGAGCTGAGCAGCTTCTCTGCCGTTTTGTGTTGTTGCATGACAGATATCCCAAGCTGTAGTGACAGCAAGGACAGCATTGGACTCTTACAGTGTAAACGTTGTGATGCTGTATCACATAGCAAATTATTTCGGTATGCAGAGGCTTAATTTGTTCTTCAGTGCTCAAGAGGAGCAAGAAGGTGATGGTTGAAATAATTTGGAGGGCCTTGGTGTTGTTGATCACGCAGTCGGCACTGCTGCTTGCACTGGGCTAATGAGACCATATTGGAAAAAGCAAAGGGTTTTCAAGAGCTCACATTGCATTGGTCATGTTTGGAGGTGCGTGAGGTGCAAAGACAAATTCCCTCTTTCAGCTGGGCTCTAAGCAGCAGCACCGCTGTGTGTTCATGTAGTGCTGTGCTCCCTTCTCCTCAGGTGCTGCTGGTTAGCAGTAGTCGTCATCCGGATCGATGGATCGTCCCTGGGGGCGGCATGGAGCCCGAGGAGGAGCCCAACGTGGCTGCCGTGCGAGAAGTCTGCGAAGAGGTGAGTGCTCACAGAGCAGGAGCTCGGGGGGCTTTCGTAGCTCCAGCTTCTTTTCCTGCAGGTGAAGAGAAATCCATGGTCAGTGCGGTACCTGCGTTGTGTATGGGGGGAACAGGGCCCGAAATGAAGGAATGATGGACTGATGGCCCTCCGAGATCCGTTCCAACTCCAAGGATTCTGTGATAATTAAGGCTCTCATTTGGAATGAACTTTTTCGCAGCTTTACCTGAAAATAGTTAAATTTAAGCTATAATCACTTCAATGCAATGATAACCTCCTTTTTTCTTTCTTTGTTGTACACTTTCCTAAGAGAACTTTAAAAAACAGCAGTGCTTTTGTGGAGCTGCCTAATAATGGAGTGGAAGTGCACCAGACCCTACCTCAAAGATAGGAGTTTCAATAAGTTTTGGCTTGCTACACGTTTTGAGCTTTATATGAATACCAGAATTTGGTGGCAAGAGTTATGAGAACAGAGATGTGACGTGTTCATGTTTTTTAGCTGGAGCTGTTTCAGAAAGGGAGGCAAACAGCAGCACACAGAATGACCTGCGTGGAGAAGGCATGCTTTTCTGTTGAAGCTGGAGGAGTTATTTTTCATATTTAATTAAAGGAATTTAAAGTCAGCAAATGGTAATTGACTACATCACATGCAGAATTTGTCTTTAGGACTCACTTCTGAATATTACTGAATAGCAGTGATGCTTGGCTTCAGAAACGATTAAATGATTATATATGGATGACCAAGTAGGTCCATAGTTACATAAGGCAGGATTAAAATGCTTTCAAGAGGTTTATGAATCTTTGTGCTACAGGACAGAAACGAAGAGCTAATTGGTGGGCGCTGGGAGGAAGCTTCTCCACTGGTTGCTCTGTTTAATTGTCTTGTATATTAAGGGTTTTTTTTCCCCTAAGTATTTGGAAATGCCTGTCACTGCTGTGTATTTCTCTTTGGACATTTTATAATCTATCAGTTTATCAGAAGGATATGAAGGATTATGCAGTGAACTTTTTTTTAGGTCTCTCTAGTGCTGGGGATTGCTGCTTGCGAATTTTGTTTCCAGCCTGTAGTACAGCTCTTGCTTTTTTAGGAACTCGTTAATCTTTCAAATACAAGCCAAAGTGAGTTTAACCAGAACAACGGGAATATTTTTAGCTACAGAGTCCTGCTTTACAACCTAATCATTATTAATTATGAAGTTATTTGATACAGAAGTCAAAGGTTCATTCAGGAGATGCATGGCTTCGCCTTTCAAACCCCTAAAATAAATCTGTATCGACCCTCCCTCTCTCAGGCAGCGAAGCTTGGAAGAGTTGCTCTCTTTCCATGACATCTCAGTGGTTGAAAGGAAGCCTTGGCATGGACTCAATCTGCAGAGAAGGAACTGGTTTGGGCTGGCTGAGATAATCCCCTCTCACTCAGCTGGTGTTCCCTCGCTCACGTGGACTGGTGCCGAATGAGGGTGTAATTCAAACTGTGGCAGCCTGGCAGGGTTGAGTCATTCCCAGCAAACCACCTATGTGCTCAAACACTGCTCAACAAACACTGAGCACAGCGAGCTCAGAAAGCTGCAGGGTGCCTAGCAGAGGTGCTGACCTCTGCCACAGCCTGTCCTGTTGGTGCCGAGCAGCGGGAGGCTGCTGGGGTGAAGGCTCTCCTGCAGGCCCGTCGTGCGGATAGAATTACCTGAGCACTCCTGCAGTGTGTGGTCAGACCAGCTGAAAAACACAGGGCAGCTCGTAGGCTTATAAGGCCTTCCTCAAACCTGTTTGTGTTCCTGCGCTCTGCTCGCAGTGTGTACACCAAATCAGAATGTATATCAGCTGCCTTGGGCTCGGTGAGCTGTTTACTGTAAAATGTTGCTGGGGAATGTGCCTGTGAGAGGGAAGTGTTTGCTACGCTCGTACTGTAAAGGACTTGTGCAGCCTTCACTGCTCATCTGGCAGGGGCAGTGTTTTAGGAGGCTGCTTGCTGGGCAACTGGTGTGCGTGCTAGCAGTGCTAGCTGGAACTTGCTGGTGAGAATTAGGCTGCTAATCCTTGTTCATCATTTCATGTGAATTTCAGCTTTTTCTGTGTGTGTGTGTGTGTGTGTGTGTGTGTGTGTGTGTGTTTGGGTGGATTGCAGCTGAGGCTGCTTTGTGTGCAGTTTTGCTGCCTTTGCTCCTCTCCTGGGACAGGTCACAGAGAGGCCAGCAGGTCGGCTGAGCAGCTCCCACTGCCTGCATCAGGAGAGAGAAAACCCAGTGTTCCTGTGCTGCGTGCACACAGCAGTGGTTATCCTGCAGGAAGGTGGCTTGTGTGCTTAGCAGTGATGGAGGAAATTTGCAGACTTGCATTTGCTGATGTTGGTATGCCTTTTCCTTTTTAATGAGAGCCAGTTGGAAGAGCTGGAAGGACTCAGTCCCCTTCAGTTGTGGTCTCTGTAGATGACAATGGACTGGTTTTTCTCAACTCAGTCATTTTTTTTTGCATGGTATGCATTTTCTTTTTAAAACATGCTTCCCTAAATGAAGAATTGTAACTTGTGCATTCTGTGTTTTAATTCCATCATCGATGTGTTTGAGCAATCAGACTTCTCCCTCTTTCCAGTTTTCAGCATTTCAGAACGGCTCTTAGGAAAACGAGGCGTTGATCGAGTGAAATCTGCCATCCCTTTGTCCCTGTTTGAGTTCAAGTCCTTGTCCTAGTTTACATAAGGACTCTCCATATTAATCTGTCCCAGCAGATGTATTAAAGCAGACAGGTACCAACACTTGTCACGCTTACCGCTGTCTGTATGCAATGCGAAGTGACGGAGCTCTGCAGGCAGAGTGCAGCAGATGAGTGCTCCAGCTCCGAGGGAGAGCCATCCTTCAGAGCCAGCCCCTCACTTATCATGGAATGATCACAGCATGGCCTGGGTTGCAAAGGAGCGCAGTGCTCATCCAGTTCCAACCCCTGCTGTGTGCAGGTCGCCAACCAGCAGCCCAGGCTGCCCAGAGCCACATCCAGCCTGGCCTTGAATGCCTGCAGGGATGGGGCATCCACAGCCTCCTTGAGCAACCTGTTCAGTGCCTCACCACCCTCTGGGGGAAAAACTTCCTTCTCATATCCAACGTAACCCCCCCTGTCGCAGTTTAAAACCATTCCCCTGTATCCCGTCCCATCCACCCTTCTGGCACACTGCAGCCAGTCGCCCACACAGCTGTGTTCTCCAGGTCTGTTCTCAGGTTCCCCTTTAGAAAAATTACATGGCCTTCTAAAGTACTGATCATCACCAGCATAGTGTGTTCTTGGCTTCTTCCTTCTTGGATTTAGTTTCTCTCTGCTGTTGCATTCTCTCCTCAAAATGAATGTCATGTTGGGAATAAGGGCTTTTCATGGGTGTGAGCAACTGGTGAAGAACATGTTTTAGAAATAGCTGCCTTAAATTAAACTTATTATGGAGTGACTTTGAAGAAAGCCTCCACATTCATCTGTTAAACCCAAAGGCATTTAATTCTGCACTTACAGCATCTTTCACATCCTGACCTTTAAATACTGAGTAAATGTCAAGTTGTATAAAATTACACAAGTGTTGGTCGTGCTTTCTTCATGGGGAGCAAAAGAAAGATAAGCTGTGCTTTATCTGTGATCAAACAGACAATGGATGCTGGTATCAGAAATCGTCCATCTCACAGCACTTTGATCTGATTGCTGGACAGTAGTTTCCCTCCCCAGGATGGCTTATGAGCAGTCTTTTCAGTTTCATGTGTTCTGTGTGTGATTTAGGATACAAATAACGATGTCTTTCAGTGCCAGCATAGGAAGCCCTGTGTTTTATCTGAAATATCATGGCAGGGGTTGTGAATGAATGAGGTGTGATAGCTGTGAGCTCTTCGTAGATTTAGTAACGCTGTGTGCAAATACCAGATCAGCTTCACTGCCGTGTATCACCTTATGTACTCAAAACTCATATAAAAATGAGTGTAATGCGTGGAAAGTCTTTGGTATTTTATAACCACATGCAGAGGTGTGCATCAGTTGTAATGCAGGAAAGAATTAGTTAAATAAATATAACCCTCTCTGAGACGCAGTGAGGGCAGCAAGAAAATTTGCCTAGCTGCTGTATAATTGGTGTCTTCAGAACTTGTCTAAGCTAGCAGCCCTTATGGGTGTGATTTACTGCCTTCAGTACTGCAAGCATTAGAGATCTGGGTGTTTTACCACAGTCCTCTTGCCCAGCAGTAACCTATAGTAGATGCAGGCTTTGAGCCTAATAGAGCAAAGTAAAATAGCTGAAATTCCAACCCACATTTTCCTTAGCTCAGATGGAAGGAAATAAAAGCTGTCCCTAGGAACAGATGGTGTTGCTGCAGGCTGCTTTTTGCATTTGACCCGAACTTATTTTCAGCTTTGAAACCTGAACCTGCTGTTCTTGGATGTCTTCGATAATTTTTCTTCATTCAAACAAGTTGTTCCATGAGCAGCAGAGTTGGTAAAACTTCATTTCCTCCCCATTTTGGTTGCTTGTCCTGCGTGCCCAGCCCATCCCTGCCATGTGCTGGCTTGGGGCAGCTGTGCGTAGGGATATGCTCCTGCTAAGGCTGCCTTCCAGCTAGGACCACCTTAGGCATTGCAAACTGGTTTGGGTGTGCTGGATGCATGGAGCAGAGAATGAGGAGCCTGAATGCCAGCCTGCTGGCCGCCCTTGCCTGGGGAGCACTGCTGCTCAGTGGAGTTGTGCTCTCACCCCTGCAGATGGAGCACAGTGCTGGGGCTTTTCTGTCTACAGATGATGGGTTTGGTAGTGCCCTCCTTGTGCAGGTGTGTGCTCTGGGGGTTGCAGCACTGCTAATGCCTGGGGGGGGAACACATGCCTAAATAACTTGTAGTGCTGCTGCCAGACACCCTGCTGCAGCCCGCGGTTCTCAATCCAGTTACAACCAAGGAGAAAATTCCGGAGTCATCTGGTGCAAATTAAGGCTTAGATCCAGCGCCAGTCCTGGGTGAGCCTGTGGCTGGGCTCTGGCTTTCCAAGAAAATGCTCATCAACGTGCAGCAGGGATCAGGGGGGAAGTGCAGAGGGGTTGCTCCCCATAGAAGCCCTAAGAGGAGCCCGGAAGTTCTGTCATGGCCGAGCTTTCTTTGCTGGGGATAGCAGTTAAGGTGTTTTACTGTGGTGTCAGTATTTACAGCATCTGTAAAGTTGGGTGAGAGTCATTGGACTGAAAGATTTCCCGGTCGATGTCCTTTGCAATCTTCAAGGCTTTACTATTTTTCACTTTGGTTATGGCCAGCCTAATGTTTGATTGAATCACAGCACTCCTATCACCATTTGCATGTGATAAACTCACAGACAGAGGAAGCCTCGGCGCTCCTTTCAGTTGCCTGACAATAATTCAGTGTGGTTTTCCTACAGCACCTTTGCTTGGAGTCACGGTTTTGTGCCATTTGGATGAGTAAGTCCAGGCTGAGTAGAGAAGGATGTTGGTTTGTAGACTGTTGCTTTGGATACCTCTTTGCTTCACCAGAACAAAAGGAAGGGCCCCGTGCCTGCCTGTGCTAGTGCAAGCATGCTGTCAGAGCCGGGCACAGGCTGCTTGGCAGTGCAGAGCTCTTGCTTAGTTTCCAGTCTGTGGCTGATCGGAGATGTATTTGTTCTCAGTCAGGTTGGAGAGCAGACAGGAACAGCCCTGGCTCTCCATTCAGTGCCTCTGCAGGTAGGGAAGGAGAGCAGTCATTCAGTGATCTCTTCCAGGAGCAAGTGGAGAAAATTGGCTTAAAACCTTGATTTACCTTTCCCATTTGATTGCACTTCATCTTTGGACGTATTTATGTTGTGAACGTGGAAGCCTTCTGTCCTTCGCCTCATTCCTGCTGGCTGAATGATAGGGCTGCTTATCTAAATAAAACAAAGCCACCATTTGAGATTGCCAAAGGAGTTTCCTCCTTGGAATGAGATCCTTTCAAGTGTTTGCTGTCTGGTTCACTCCTGAGAGCCATTAGTAGCAGCTCTTCAGATGAGGTAGCACTGCTCATCTGCAAAGGTCAGCCTGAGTTCTCTGTGCTTGCCATGCTGAGTGCATGCATGCGAACGGTGACCTTCGTGGAATTGCTCTTTGACTCCAGAAATAGCTTTGTGTTCATAGCCAGTGACCCACCTATGGGCCAGCCAGAATGTCAGAAATACTGATGGGACAATAAATTTCATATCCAAAACCAGTGTAGGAGGTTGAATTGAAACGCTGCTTCCTATTAGTCGAGCTCAGAGAGTGTGTGATGGAAAGAATGCGGGTTTCAGGGGTAGCTTGGGGTGGTGAGAGCTATAAAGCCCTTGGTTCCTTTGGGGCAGCTGTGGGAGCAGCAGTGGTGTTTGCTCTGACTACTTTGGTTCAGTATGAGCTGGGAACTGAAGCACTTGGCTCCTAATTAATGAGAGGTCCTCCTTTCCAAAAGCATGTGACTCCAGCAACAGAGTAGTAGCTGAACAAACACAGAACGGTATCCCAGCTGCTCAGGACAGAGAGTTTGTGTAACTGTTAAGCATTTAAATATGTAACTCCCCTCTCCTGAATACCTTTCCCTATAGAAACCCTGAGCCTGGCTAACTCAGGCTGCTGGGTTGGTGCTGCAGGAGCAGAGGCACTGCTTTCCTGCACTGCTCGCCATGTGCTCCAGCTGCCAGGGTTGGCAGCTCAGTTTGCCTTCAAAACGTGGCTGGGTTGTGGGCCATGCTCTGTGTTGTTTCACCCCAATTGAGTCACGGAGCAAAATCCCACCTCATCTGTAGCACTTGAATTCCAATCATTCACAGTAAAAAGGAGCATCTGTTACGGGAGGAGGAGGGCTCTGGGGGCAGGAGAGTGGGGTGGCGTTTTGCATTCGCTTGGAGGATGTGTCTGAGCCCCAGCAGCATGTGGACATAGGAACAGCAAGCAGGTGGAGGTGGAAGCTCGGTGTGGAAGGCGCAGCTGCTGCTTAGATCTCTCCTCTTTGTCCCAGCCTTTGATTCAGAAATCCTCCTTCAATGTGCGCCTGTGCTTTGTGCTGTATCACAAACACTCCTGTTCCTGTTGTGGAGGCCATGAGGCCACGTTACAACTCTGGTGGTGTTTTATGTTTGCTGTAGCTTGCTTCAAACGGATGGAGGACATCCCTGAAATGCCTCGGAGATGTCAGGTTGCTTTGGTGCTGTGAGGATGTCTGACTCGTGCTTTGAAGTTATTTTCTTAAGCTGTAATTCTAAAAAGGTAAAACTGCTGAGCCCCAAGGCGATTTTTAGCCGTGCTCAGGCTGCAACAACAACCTTTAGAGAAGGTTCTGGTAGGAATTCAGGGTGTATTGATGTGCAATTAGTAAAGAATCATTTTTCGGTTTTTCTTCAGATTGAATTAAGAAACCAAAAATATTTGAGTACAGAAAAAGAAGGGAAGAAATGCTGGGAATGCATGCATGGTTGGAGCTCACAAAACATTTGTATAATTTATTTTGTGACCATTAGCTGAATTACAGCATTTGCTTCTTGTTCTAAAGGAGCTGCTCCTGCACAGCGAATGGGGAAATGCATACTGACCTGTTGTTAAAGCCTTTCTTTTTTTCCTTTCACCTTTTCTAGGCTGGAGTGAAAGGGACGTTAGGAAGATTGGTGGGAATTTTTGAGGTAAGTTTCAGACACAGTTTGGTGCTGGAAAGTTTGGTTGAATAAAATCCTCTTGGAGCAATAGTCACTTCCCAGTTTGTTGTGAAGTAAGGTGGGTGGCTTGTTTGAAGAAAGGCTCAAAGTTCCTCATTTAATTTATATATGTGTGTGTGTATATGCTGATCTTTTTGGTGGCATTGCTCACCAGTGATTTCTGCTTCATTTGGAGTTAGCAGTGACAGGCCAGCACAACACTGAATCTCCTCAGTGCCTTCATCCCTTCCTCGGTGCCCCCAAAACACCAACCAGTCATGAGCAGCACCGTAACCATTTCCCAGAGTGATGTGGAGAGGTGTGAGTGCCCCCAGCAGGAGGGCAGAAACACAGGGGCACTGAGATGTGTGGGCAGGGGGTACCACAGAGAAACTGTTTCACACTTTAGGAACCAGGATATTTTTCTTGTCTTGCTGCCCCTGCAGGTAATTCCAGACCTTTCATTTAAGATGCAGTATTGTTAAGTGAGGGAAGCAGCCCATCAAGCACCATAGCATCCCAGCTGCAGCACACTGCTTGTGGCTGTGTGCCCTCTGCCTTTTCTCCTCTGCTCACTTTGTCATTGCTCTGTTCACTTTGCCTTCCAGAATCGGGACAGGAAACATAGGACATATGTTTACGTACTGATTGTCACAGAAGTGTTGGAAGACTGGGAGGACTCTGTCAATATTGGTAAGTTTGGTTGCTTGGGGGAAAAAAAAAAAAAGAATGGTGATCAAATAGTTGGCTCTGTGGCCTGGGAGAACTCATTTCAGCCATGCAGCTGCCTGTACAGCAGTGCTGTGTTTAATTCCTGCACCAGGCACAGAGCATGAAGAGCTTTCCTTCCTAAAATTAGAAGGAAATGTATGTGGGCAGTGTGGATTAATCATTTTCTATTTTCTTTTGAAATCTTTGCATTTAAATCAGGTTCATAAATGAAAATGAGTTGTTCCTCACAGTGTTTGCCAATAGCACTGTGGCACCTGTGGGCTGATCTCCTTAGGCTGTGTCCTTTCTGCCTTTACTGGAAGAGCAGGGAATGAGCACTGAGTTCACTTGCCAGTTCACCAAATCTGGCTGGTGGTTGAAGTGCTGTGGATCGTCCTAAAATGATTTCTGACTTGAACAGCAAATGCATCCTGGTGTCTTTTGCACTGCTGCTGTGTTACAGGCTGCAGCTGTTCTTGCAGCATGTGCACATGGCTGAAAGCTAATTCTTTCTTAAACAGAGAAAGGTAACATCATTTTGCTGCACCTACTGATCTTTCTTTTTTGCCTGCAGGAAGGAAAAGGGAATGGTTTAAGATAGAAGATGCCATCAAAGTTCTGCAGTATCACAAACCGGTGCAGGCCTCGTATTTTGAAACCTTGAGGCAAGGCTGCTTGGCAAACAACGGCACTCCAGTCATGACCACGACGTACTCTGAGGGCTCTGTGTCTGACATCAGATGACTGAGGACGTCCCTGTGAGAGAGATTTTGAAAAACAGACTGAAACATGGATTTCCCCCCCCTCCCCTCCCCTTTTTCACATGCCTCCTCTATCAAACAAGGCATGGGCAGCAGCCTGTGGCAGAGCAAGTGTTAAGAGTGCTGCAATTTAGTGCAAGGTGGGATTTTTTTTTGTTGTTGTTGGCTTTTTTTTTTCGTTGTTGTTGTTGTTTTTTGCTTTTTTTGGATATGTATTTTGTAAGATACATTTTGTGCATGAAGTGCCCCCTTCCCGTTACACCGCTTCCATTGCCTGGCGAGCGAGGCTGCCAGTTTTGCCTCTGCCTTGTGTTCTGAAGTGTCCCATTTGTGTCATCCCAGCCAGAGCCACTTTTTTTTTTTTTTAATTAAAAGACTTCAAATGTGAGATCAGCTCTTTAAGTCTTAGTCTGTACTGTAAGGTGCTGTTTGGACCTGCGTGGCGGTCACTTTCAGCACATGTATATAGACAACATTTTTTTTTGTTAGATGGAGAATCTAACATTTTAATTTTTTTTTAATCCTGGTCTGCTTTGAAAAGAAGGGTTCATAATTAATCTGTTTGCCTTTTGTTCTGTTTTTTTTTTCTCTAACAATACATGTTCTGTGACAGTGCTAGTGGCTGGGCCAGTTTACTCCCCATTCAGCAACTCCCCATTTGGTGCAGTGACTCTTGAAGTTGAGGGCAGAGTTTTGATCACCTGCAGACATCCCTGCTGCTCAGTCGCTTCTCCTGCAGCTTCTGCCGCCGTTTCTGCTTTTCACATCAAAATGAAACAAAAAGAGTTGGTCTTTTAGGGCTTGGCCAAAAATAAGTAGCCTCAGAAACGCTACGGTAGGAAACAAACGTCTGTGGTGGGGATTCAGAGGGGGCTCAAAGTCTGACAAACTGGAGTGTCAATCACCAATGCTGTTCTGCTGATCCTGCTGCATTCTGCTGATGTCTCTTCTTGTCCACATGCCTTACACCGTGCTGAACTGGATATCCTAACTTGTGCTGAAGCATCGGATTGTACTTAGTGAGTGTTGCTGCGCCGACCCTTGGCTGGATGACCACGAATATCCCTGAGAAGAAGCCCGGGGGGAAAAATTCAGGTGTTCAATCTCTTGCCCTGTGGTTCCGCAGCACTTGCAGTTGCACCATGGAGCACATTCAGAATGTTTAAGCTGTCCCTCCGTGAAAGGTACAGCTGACTCCTGAGCAGAGTTGCTGGTTGGAGGAGCGCACCGTTGGTAGGACGGCTTCCCCGATGCGTTGGCACGCTTCACTTTTTTTTGTTGTTCTGTTTTTATTGATGTAAGTTTCATGCTGTCTTGATTTGCCAACAGTGTTGTCTAGTTGGGAAATAAAATGGGAAGGGTTGGGGCTGGGGGTGGGTTGGGACAGGTACAACTTTTGGGAGGGGCATTAATTAATCCCTGGCTTGGGACAAGAAGCAGTTGCTGAATTCAGTAACTTCTCTTTTGTCAGAACATAGCCAAGATGTGAAATTAAATCTGCAGTACTCTTTTTTTTTTTTTTTTTTTTTCCTCCTCTTTATTTAACAAAAAAATATTCTAATAAATACTCACTGTTCGGAGTTTTCTCTCTTCCCAAGAAGCACTTAACATATGAAAATCTGATGGAAATATCCATGGAGCTTGGGACAAGGGGGAATGGTATCCTTGCTGCTTTGGCAAGAAGCTGTTCATCTTCAGATCCTATTCTGTTCCTGTCCTTGTTCCCCCTGCTTTCATCGATGTGGGGTAGCCAGGCCAAAAGCAGTGCCAGCGATTGCTGACATGAAAAACCACGCATAAGAAAAAGCTGAGAGGCATTATTCAAGGAGTAGCCTGGAATGGAGCCTGAATTACACCAGTTCAGTTCACTTCAACTTAGAGACGAATGTACAATGCTGTCCTGCTCTCTGTCTGAACCAAACTCTCACAAGGGCTCCAGTCTTGCCTTGGGGAGTGTACAAGGATTGCAGCAGTCTGCTGTTACCGAGCCCTGAGTGGCACCAAACACAGCCACCTACTGCCTTCAGCTGAGCTCTTGTCGTACTGTACGGATCAGTGTGTGGAGAATGCTTTGCAACAAAACAGCTGGTACTCCTGAAAGAGTAATTGCAGTTTTAATATCAACAGCATGCACACTTTTTGTTTATAAACTAAAAAATGTTTTTACAGGGCTGTTAAACTGACAATTTAGGGTAGAAAATTGTTAATGACTTGCTAATGGCTTATTTGTTTGGGTCAGAAAAATAAATTGTGCCAAGAAAGTGTTCTAATGTGGCATGAATTGATGCTGTTAACACAGTAACACGGAGTGGCTGATATTATGCCTTCTGAACTGCAATTAGCTCCTGGGGCAGAAAAAGCTTTTGTTCAACAGTTGTGGTTTCGGGAACGGAGCTTAGTCTTGTTCCACCTGCAAGTTCCCATCTTCCTCAGCATCTGAGATCTTCTGTAGTAAGTGGTGGAGCTGCATTGCATGCCAGGGAGGCTCTGCCTGGGTTGTGCTAAATTGATTTGGGATCCGCGGTCGAGCTGCCTTCCTCAGTGAGTTGTTCAGGAGCTGTTGGGAAAGCGGCTCCCTGGCTTTGGGGTGGAGATGGTGGAGGTGCCCAGGGCTGGTGTTGTGAGCACTGCTGAAACCCCACCACGTGCAGCCTGCAGGTCGGGCTCAGGCTCCCAGCCTTGCTAGAACTGGTGCTATTTTGAGCCAGCAGAATTGTTTTGTGTCGTGTCTGGACTGACCCCTTAAGCCTAGCACCATAAACCTGTCATTACAACGTGTCTCAGCTTCCTGTTCAAGAGTAATATTCTTTGCTTGGCTTTCTGCGTAGCCGTGGATGTTTGGCTGGTGTAGCTGTAGGTGTTCTCTAACAAAAGCAGACGCCTCCTTCAGACAACCTGCAAGTTTGCAGCAAATTCATCGAGTCGCCCCAAAGCTGCAGGATTCACATGCCTGGTTTGCTGAAGGCAGTGCTCAGGTAAATGCCAGCCCTGTTTGTGATGCAGCAGCTTCAGCTCGGAGTGGCTCCATCCATCATCACCTATGGCTGATGGGCTGCTGGAAATGAAACTTCCAGTGTCCTCTGCGGCTTCTTCACCACAACATTCCTTTCTCCCTCGTTGCTTTCTGTGCTGTACAAACGCGTTGTGCACGTGGGGATGCTTTGCACGCTGAGAGGCAAGGAAGAGGGGAGAATGTGAGCAAAATGCCTGGCTCTTGGGGTGCTTCAATACCGGGGTGCTCTGTGCCCTGAGTGACGCCTCGGCGTTGTGGGGTCAGTGATGCGCTGGCAGTGGAGGGGAGGTGTGCTGTGGAGAATAGAGGGCTTCTCTAGGGGACCAGTTCCCAATTTTGGCATTGAGTCGCTTCCTCCAGTCTCGTCAGAATTAAAGCCTGCTGTCAGTGACTTGCATCCTCCCATCTGGATTTACAGATGTGTTTGGGACCTTAATGGAGAAGGGAAGTGCAGTTGGCACTTAGAGACACCTCTGCTTAGCGTGATTATATCCCTTAAACCCCAAATACTAACACAGTGCTGGCTCATCTGACAGGGCAGCCTGGATTACTGCTGCTGCAGCAGCATGCAAGGCTAAGCTGATGCCCACCAATGGGTTTGCTGCTATTTGTATGGATTCCATCAGGAGAAAAAGGACACCTTCCAGCGCTGCTCGGTTCTTCCAGAAGGTGCTGGTCAGCCCCATTGCTGCTCTGATGGCTTCACCTGAGGCTTAACACACCAGAGGAGGTGCATGTCCCCGTGTGGAGGAGTTCCAAACGTAATTAAACTCATGGGGTTGAAACTGCCCCACTGTCGAGCTGTAGGAAACCTCTCTGATGGGGTTTTGGAATGGTGGGAGGGGGATTGCTGTGCTCGGATCAGTGGGAGTTTGGAAACGGTGGCAGATGTGCAGCGTGAGGCTCCTGGAGTTGTGGCTGTGAAATGATTTCTTGGTTTCAGATTTAGCTCTGTGGGGCCTTCCAAGGGCAAGTTTAAAAGGAAGGAGCTATTTCAATTGAAAACAACATGAGGGATGTTCTCTCTTCCATGGAGAACCCTCACCACGTGGGATGTGATAGATGTGCCCCATGGCTGAGGCTGCTGGAGTGTGAGAGAAGCTGAGGGCAAATGCCAAGACACCAGAGGGGGAGATGCTGCCTTGGAGGCGGCCAGGAAGGGGTTGAGTGAGGCTGGTTGTCCGTTGCAATCTGGCATTCAGTGCTGCTGGAGTACTTCTGGTTGCTGCACAAAGATGGACTGTTGGGTTTCACACAGTACTTCATTGGTGATGGAGAAGCTCAGTGCTGGCAGGGAGGTTTGCACCTCCTTTATCTGTGGTCGTGTCCTTAGCAGAGCTGTTCTGTGCTGTCCTGCGGGCAGCTGGAGCTCAGCAACGCCGTGCTGCTTTCCTTGGCATTGCAGCAGCTTCCAAACAGGGATGCTTGGCATTTGCCACCTGGCTGAGCGGTGCTCGGGGCTGCTCTCAACTTTGCAAGCTAAAATAATGTTGGTTGGGTCACCGTTAGCAAAAAGGTGGATGAGGAGTTCTGATGGGCAGCTAGCTAACTTCGTTTAATGCATTTAAACAGAGCTGCAGCTGTAGGCTGGCATTACTGATAAACCCAGTTCACCAGTAGCTAATTAAAACCTGATAGAAGGAGGGATAGAACACGACTTTTATGGAGAGGTACTTCATTATGGGTCTCTTAAAGCTGCTGCTGGGATCAGCTGGGAGGGAGAGCACCTGGCTTGTTGGAGCTTTGCTCTTTCCCTTCATCGTGCACCGTGAGTTTAAGGTGCAGGAAGAACTTGGGAGCGTCCTTGGGTTCTCTTGGTGGAAGACCTGCAGGGATTTCACGCAGCTGTTCTGCTCTGAGGAAGGATCGGATGCACAGAGAAATGGAGCCTCTTCAGGGCCGTCCTCACATCAAATCTCTCCTCTTGCTTTGCCACAGAACGGTGGCACAGACAGGTGACTGCATATCTGAGTCCTTGGGAGCTGTTTCTCTTCCGTTTGCAGTGTGTGGTTCCTTCTTACATCACTTTGATTCCAGCTTGGCAGCAGAGGGGCATCCTGTAAGAGCAGAAGAGAAGTGCTGCGTGATGTGGGCATGGCGCTGTGCAGCCAGCACCCACTGCAGTGCCGTGTTCCCCTTGCTGCAGGGGAAAGCAGGAGGGAAGGAACCACAGCCATGAACATTGGCTTTGCTGGCAGGCAGGAGCGCGCTGTGGGCTCTTTGCAGCAAGGTTCCTGTTGAGCAAGAAGGCAGTTCAGCTCAGTGTGACCTTGGATGTACCTTAAACTCCTTAAACTGAAAAATGCAAAGGAGGTGGAATCTGCTGGAGCGCGGCTTTTCCTCTAGCGCAGACCCGAAGCAGTGGCTAAAAATGTGGGCAGGGAATGCCAGGAATCCTCGCTTCCATTCCCAGCTCTGCTCCGCTCTCTCTGCTCCGTGGCACAGCATCATCTAGCGGCTCCGTGGGCCTTGGCTGCAGGTGAGCTGGCTGCTCTGTGTTCCCATCCCGTAACACCTGCATCTGTCCTCGGTTCTGTCGCTGCTGGGGTGAGACTGGGTGCAGTTGTGGCTCTGATGGTGGGAGGCGAATGGAAAGGTGGTGGCTGTGCTGCCCTGAGGTCTGTACGTAATTAAAAGGTGTAGCTGGGTGTGAAAGAACACTTACCTGGATTGAAGATGTCTTTTGGGGGTTTTATAAAACCTCTTCTTGGTGCCAGTGGGTCGGGGCTGGTTTTGATTTTGTTTTTCTTGGGGGGGAGGAAAATGGGGCATGTTGACATTGCGTTTGAGAAATGAGCTCAGAAAGGAATCTCAGGAGGTTCGGGAGTGTTTGCTGAGCATCTTGTGTGTCCTGTTTTGTATTCTTCGAGTTGGGAGGTTTGGAAGCATCGCCTTGCAGTTCCACTTTGCCTTCTGAGCTCTGCGCCCAGCGCTGGCAGCATCCCTGAGCAGGAGCAGAGCCCACAGCGCGGCAGTGGGAGCAATACAGGGAATGCCACTGTGCCACCTAGATGCCACTAAGTGAGAGCAGCTGTCAGCCTGTTCCATTGCCTCTGTAACCTCAAGGCTGCCTGCTCTCACCCAGCTCCTGGCCTCTCTGTTCCCAGGGGATGAGGTTTAAACGCTGCAGACACTTCCGACTCATTCGGGGCTCTGGGTCTGGGCTGGGGCTGCACAATTGCAGTGGCAGAGCGCAGTCAGCATGGCTCCAGGTGCTCCTGCTCCGTGCAGATCAGTGCTTTCAGCTGGGGGGTGCCAGTGAGCGGCTGTTGGCTTCAGGTGGGAATGTGGAACTGATGCAGGGAGCAAAGCAAGGAGAGCTGAAAGCAGCCTGACGTCTCCAGTGAATCATCAGCACCGCGTTCTCCATGAATCCCAGATGGATTTGGACATTTAATTCCCATCACCCACTGGCTTTTTCTCGCTGCAGAGTTTTGTTCCTCACCCCTGTGCTTTGTGTTTCTAAGTTTATGACATATTAAGCGAGAATGGTTTGCAAACACGCTTTCTGACTGCAAGGGCATTTTGGCAATCTCGCGTTTCTCTTTCTTACTGACTCGGACTCGTTCTTCTTACAACTAAAATTCTGGTTGGGTTTTCCTCGAGGGTCAGCTCTTAGTTGGAGCCTACCAATGACACAGATGTTCTCCTTCCATCCTGTCCAGAGCTGGCTAGCAAGTTTAGCATCAACCTATGTGATTTTGATCTTTCCATTTCCAGGGAGAGCACAGACCTCCGTGCACCCCATGCAACCCAGTGCTGCTTTTGGGGTGAGCTGTGTGCCGGGTGTTGGCTCTACCCAGCAGTGCCACACACGGCAGCTCAGCGCAGGGCTGCCTGCACCCCTGTGTGTGCTGGAGAAGAAAGGTAAAATCACGAAAAGCAAAACAAAGCTGGATGAGAGCTGGACGAGCGTCAGGCTGTAACTCAGTGCCAACCAATAAACACACCATACTGCACACAGCTCTGCTTGCTGCCTGGTCTCTTGTTTTCGTGTGCATCTGTGGGGATGGGGGTCAGGGAGCACGGGGAAGAGCCCTCCCTGCTGCCCCTTGCTGTGTCTGGGATTTGGGGGAGCAAATGCTGAACTGGGTGAGAGCCCTTCAGGTTCCATGCAGAGGGGACTGTGCTGTAGGACTGGGGTGAGCTGTAAGGCCTGGTCTCACACAGACATTTCCAGCCCTGATTTGTGGAGCAGGAATGATGGCAGTGCTCATAAGCCGCTCGCAGCTGTGCTGCAAAGCCCGCAGGTGGAAATGACCTTCTGCTTCTGCTGCAGGGGTGCAGAGCACCAGCAGTGCCCTGTATCCATCCTCACTGATGGTAATCACTGGCTGTGTCTGCCCAGGACTCTGCCAGGTGTGGCATCACGCTGCTGGTCCATCCGCAGCCCCAGCTGATGTACAGCACAACGATGGAGCTCCTTTGGGAAGCCAAAGGTGACTCTGGGTGATGTTAATTTTCTGACTTCAAACTCATCGCCCACTGCAGACAGGAGTTGCAGAGATGCTGTGAGCACAGTATGGGAGGGGTGAGGGTGGCTGCAGCAGGGAGGAGGGGCTGCTGTGCATTCTGCTGCACCTTTGGGAGCAGAGCAGCCTGTTGGCTCTGCTGCTGCTCTCTGCTGCAGGTCTGCTCGCTCTGCTGGTTCCCCTGGTCGCAAAGGATCTGTTTCCCCAAAGTTGGTGGTGATGCTCTCATTCCCGATGTTTCTGGGGGGGCATTAAGGGTGATTTCCTTGGGGCTGAGCAGCCCCTGTGCTCCCCCAGCCCTCCTGCTTGCTCACTGTCTCCAAGGAACTTTCCTAGAAACTGCAGATCTTATTTTTAGGTGTCAGGATGGGGGGTGTGTGGGGGGAAGCAATGAGCAGGAGGCTCCCATGGCTGCTGATGGGGGAGCGGGGCTGAGGCTGGTTTGGGAAAGACATGAGATGTGTGATTTGGGATGTAGGGGATGCAGAGGATGTATGGGGTATGGGGAATCCCATGGGGTGAGCTGTGCAGCAGCGTTTTGGGGGTGATGGTTTCCCTTCTCCTGAGCATCCTGTCCAGGTCCATTCCCTCTGTCCCCATTGGAGGGGACCTCTGGGGGCCAAGGGGAGGCAGCAGAGATGTTGGGACCAGTGAGGGCAACACGGCCACCAGCATTGCAAAGGACACTGGATGGCTGGGAATGGGGACAATGGGACACTGGGGGAGCCTCGCAGAGTGGGGACAAACCAGCCCTGCCCCTTCCCACTAAAACAAAGGGTTTTGGCATCCCAGAGCAGGGAGTGTCCCTAGGGAGGGCTGGAACCAACCCCCGCCCCAAGCTCCATGCTGTCCCTGTCCCCTCTTGGCTTATTTTTTTTCCTTCCTTTCCCCCTTCTTCCTTTTTTAAATTCTCTTCTATTTCACCCATCTCTCTCATTGCCCCCCCGGTCTCTGCTGCCCCCTAGCGGCCCTGAAGCTGCACTGCATCGCGTTCAGAGCCACGCCCCCTCCACGAAAAAGCCACGCCTACATGTAAGCCCCGCCCCCAACACAAAAAAGCCCCGCCCCGCTGTCACGCGCTGCTCGGGTTCCGGGTGCGGGCGGTGCGCGCAGGTGGGGCGGGGCGGGAGCGCGCGGGGGGGCGCGGGGGGGGCGCGGGGGGGGGGGGGGGGGGGGGGGGGAGGAAGGCATGGGAAGCGCGGGGGGGGGGGGCCCCGGGGGGGCCCCAGCCCCGGGGGGCCCCAGGGGGGGGGGGGGGGGCGGCACCGCGTGCGGGATCTGCAGCGCCGTGTCGTAGCGGGGAGGGCTGCGATGCGGCGTGGCGGTGCGTGGCCGGATTTCTTTGGGGGGGAGCGGCACAGCAGCCCCTGGGTGCTCACCCTCCCTCTCCCCCATCCCCGGCCCGTTCTTACCGTAGGGAGGGCGGACGGGGTGACGGCAACCCACCGGTGTCTCTTCCTGGTGCGTCCTCGTGGCTGAACGCTGCGTAGCCCCCCCCGCCCCCACCCCCACCCCCGGCGCACCCCACGCCGTCGTTACCGGGGCCGCTTCGTTCCCTCGTGCCACCCGTCCCCATGCCGGGAGCAGCCGTCACCGCACCGCCGCAGCCATGAGCAACGCGACGGCTCCCAGCGCTCCCGGCGCTGCGGGCGATTCGTTGGTGGGCTCCGTGCTCGGCCCCTTCGTGCTGCTCACACTGCTGGGCGCCGTCCTGGCTGCGGTGAGTGCGGGCAGACCCCAGCCCCGGCTCCGTCCCTGTCCCTCATCTCCCCAACCTCATCCCTTTCTCCATCCCCAGTCTCATCCTCAACCCCATTCCTGGCTCCATCCCCAAGTTTAAGTCCGTCCCCATCCCCAACTTCATCTCCATCCCCAATTCCAACCCTGTCCCCACCCCCATCTGTAACCCCAGCCCTGTCCCAGTTCTCAACCCTCTCCTACTCTTCAGCCCCAATCCTGTTCCCATCCCCAGGCCCAGCCCTGTCCCAGTTCTCAACCCTAACCTGTCCTCAATCTCATCTCCAATCTCAGCACCATCTCTATCTCCATCCTCGATCCCAACTCTTCCCATCCTCAGTGCCATCCCCAACCCCATCATCCCCACCCTTAACGCTCTCCCATCCTCAGTGCCAATCCTGTTCCCATCCCTAATCTCATCTCCAATCTCACCACTGTCCCTGTCCCCATTCTCAACACTCTCCCATCCTCAACCACAATTCTGTCCCCATCCACAACCCCAGCCCCAACCTTATCCCCAATCTTATCTCCATTCTCAACCCCAATCCCATCCCCAACCCCAACTCTGCCCCCATCCTCAACTCCATCCCCAATTCCAACTCATTCCCCAACCTCCTCCCATCCCCATCCCCACATCCCACTCACACCCATCCTGCTCTCCACACAGGTGATGTACGTCCAGAAGAAGCGAAGGTGAGTGACTGGGGGACCCCCATCCCATAAACCCCCGGTTCTGCACCCCATCCCTGCTCAGCCCCATCCCCACCCCAGGTCGGAGCGCCTGCGGCACCGCCTGCTGCCCATGTACAGCTATGACCCTGCTGAGGAGCTGCAGGAGTCGGAGCACGAGCTGCTGGTGGAGGCGGAGGAGCACCAGGTGAATTTTAGGGCTGTGAGCTTTGTTTTGGGGTGGGAGGCTGCGTTCTGGGGCCATGACCTGCATTTTGGGGTTGGGGGCTGTATTCTGGGGCCACCGGCTGCACTGTGGTGGCTCAAGGCTCTCCATCCCTCCCTGCAGATGGGTCCCACGTGGGGCTCCCGTGGGGGCTGGAGGGCTTGAGGCTGCCCTGGAGCAGGACTGGAACCCACAGCTCCCCCCAGCAGTGGCAGCACAGCACCGGGAGCAGCGCCAGCATCCCCATGAGCACGGATGGTAACGGGGCACCTGCCACCTTCCTGCACATTTTTCTGCTGCTTTTTCTTGAAACCACCCTAAAAAAAATGCACTGAGGATGGGGTGGGGAAATGCACTGGGGCTGTGAGACAGGTGCAGCCCCACGGAGCACCCATGGGCTCCTATTGGCCCTATATGGTGCTTGCGGGGTCAGGACACCCCAAGTTCCTTGAGGGGGGCAAATAAACGTTTCTCTGTAACAGCAATAGCAGTGGTGATGGGCAGACCCCACACGGGGCTCAACCCCAGACCCCATAGGAGGCTCAATCCCAGAGCAGAGCATCAAATGTTTTATTCCATAAAACGTTTTATTCAAGTAACTGCAAATAGGAAACCAGACGGTTGTTAACAGTGGAACAAAAAAATAAACAGTAATAAATCCCCCCTTATTTCCCCACACTGGCAGCACCCTGAACCCGACACCGAACCCCCCCTGGCCCCACTGCAGCCGTGGGGGTGGCACAGGGGGACCCCCAGTGTCCCCATGCCCCCACCCAGGAGCAGCAGTGACTGAACCTTGAAAGTTAACAGTAGAAAACAAAAATATATGAACAAACGGCTGAACTGGGGAGAATCCCCCAAACCCCGCTGCAACCCCCAGCAATGCAACCCCCCCAAAAAAAGAGAAAGATGATGATGACCCCAAGCAAAGGATGCCCGGCTGCCCCACACCGGCACAGCAGTGCTCCGTGAGCCAAGAGTGGAACTTAAATATCCAGAGGTAGTTGTGAATGAGAGGACAACCAAAAAAGGATTAAAAAAAAAAAAAAAAAAAAAACCAACCAAAACGAAACACAATAATATATATATATATAAAAATAATAAAATAAAAATTAACCAGAACCGATGGGGAAAGGGGTCACCCCGAACCGGGCACTGCAGGGATGCAGCGAGGGGGAGTGGGGCTGCCCCACTGTGCTGGGGGGAGGGGGGTGGGGGTTCCCCCCCCAACGGGTTGGGGGGTTAACCCTTTGTTCCAGTGCTGCTGTTGTTGGGGGGTGAGGAAGGAGCGGGGCAGGAGGAGGAGGAGGAGGAGGAAGAGGAGGAAGCTGGGTGCTGCCGGGGGGGGGCTGTGCCCCGTCCATCTCCCTCAGTCCTGGGGGGTGATGATGAGGTAGCGGCGGTTCAGGAGGGGTCACTGCTCCTCCTCAGATGACTCCTGGGAAATGTTCACCTCCTCCTCGTCCTGCTGCTGCAAAGCAAAGGAGAAACGTGGCGGGGGAGGAGAAACCGAGGGGGGAAACTGAGGCAAGAGTCACCGCGCAGGGTTCTGCCCCTCAATGCGGCTCTGCATGGCGCCCCGCGGAGCTGCTGCTGCTTCGACCCCGCGGTGTGCAGCACAGCACAGCACAGCACAGCACAGCACAGCCCTGTGTGCGCGGCCCGGTGCCCACAGCTGCGCCCCATGGGGGGGTCGGAGGGGGGCACACGGTGCTGACTCAGCGCTGAGTGTGAGCCATGACTCAGCGCTTCCCACGCTTCCTCCCGCTCCATTCATAAAAACGTTCTGCCAGCGCCG